TCTATTTAGAATATCTGTTTAAATCAATAAAGTCTCTGCCAGAAAACCAGCCGATTGTAGCACATATACCCATTGAAAAAAAGAAGCAGATAGGTCAGTATTTCAAACTTAGTCTTGTAGTTGAGAATAAGAATCTCTCCAAGTATGATAAACTGCTCCTCCAGATTGATGATAATTATCTGGTGCTAGTTAACTATGAAAATGATTTCACTGACATAGTGTTTTTTTCACCTCAGGGTTTCAGACATATTAAGAGATTCTTTAAAGCTTTGAAAATAGCTCACCAGCACCAAGATAGACTGATGCTTGGAAATGACGTATTCTCTATAACTCATCAGTTTCAGTAAATCTAGACTATTAGCAATAGTGAGGAAGTCTCTGCATACTGTAACTATGATAAAAAGTTTTTACTTACTGGCTTTAATAACTATAAAATTGGTGTGTATGTTTTTCACGAGGGAAACTACTAGCTTTGCACATCTATAAGAACCACTCCTCCTCTTTAGACATACACAGCAATAGTTAGTCTATTTAAGTTGACAGAGAGGCTCTTCCTAGTCATTTTAGGTAAAACTAAGATATGTATAAGAGTAGTTGAGATAGATCCGCATCGCTGGCAGCAAGTTGAGCATCATAAAATAGGTTGCTACAGTAGTTCTATTGTGGACATCAAACGAGTCTCTGAGAGTAAATTCATTGCCTAGACATCCAAAAAGATCATAATGTTTGACTATACAGTAGAAGGCTACGATAAACTGTTCAGATTTAAAAATGATTCAGGCGGAAACCAAAACATCAATGGATAAAATAATTGCAACAGTAACTACCCTATGGATAATGCTTTATAAATTCCACCCAATAATAACGGTAACTCAAGATATCTAGATCCAGTAAGCGCTCTTACATCTTAAAGCATGAATAGCAATATAAGCAATAACTCTGTGAATTAGAATGACCTAGCTAATATGATCATCTTTCCATTCTATGATCCATGGGATCTACCATATATAATAGGGGAGCAATTAAAGCTATACGATACTAAGACTAAGCAGCATATAGGCTAGTTGGAGGGAGTAAATCGTGAATTAGTAACAACACTTGGGTTCATTAGGAATTCAACATATTTGGTAGCATCAAATGTAATACATGGATTGCAACTCTTAACATTAGAACTATAACAATGAAGTAAATAATTCGAGAATACTTGAATATTACAATTGATTGGCAATAAAAATAATTATATAATAATTGGACTAAATTAATCTTTTAATTTAATGATTTGTAATGTACCATAGTCTTTATCTTGAGCCACAAGCAGTATTTCGTTCTTATCATCATTCCTCTTCACACAACCCAGCACTTAAATATCGTCTAGATTATCTATTTAACCCAGATACCCACTGTTCATTATATCGACTACCTTCATAAAATACTCATTATCATTCAGCTTTGGTATAAATTGCTCTGCTAATTGCTCCTCCGGATTAATACCTGAATCTCTAGCAAGAATTACTGGCCTGATCTTTATGTCAAACTATGGAGATAGAATCAAGAAGCACTGCAGACAATCCAGATTTTTAGCAAACACTTTCTAAGTAGTTTGAGGGTTAACTATCTGAATCTACTGCTCATACATTATTATAGTATGCTAGGCATCGTATTAATAGTAGTCCTGGATGAAACTTCTCTTGTGCTTGATTCTTACTTTGTCTGATTTACTTACATCCTTCCCATTCAGGTAGAGTTTAAATAGATTATTCAGCCCTATAACCACATAGATCTCATTGGCTTGAGTCGAAAATTTGTCTTTCTGGAACATTGAGGCTGCATAATTGGAGTTACAGCCCCCTTAAAGGAGAGGCTTGCGCTAGAGTTTATCATACTTCTCACCATTCCACTTATAAATGCTAAGTCTAGCATAGTTAGCATGTCCAAAGAGAAGTAATGACTCGCTTAAAGCCAAACAGCCAGTAATACCAATGGCAGTAGTCTCTTAAATCAGCATAAAAGAGCCATCATCCTTTGGCTT